ACCACCGACTCCTAACTGCTCACCTGCCTGCCAGCCTGATCCCCTAACTGCTCTCCCCTGCTGGCCTGATTGCCTCTAACTGCCTCTGCCTCGGCCCCACCACCATGGCTTTGTACGGAAGGACGTCCGGAAGATATCTGGTCTAATTAGCCTATTATCCTTTAATTAGTATAGATAGGTTTATTTTTATCCTCACCTGAGGGTATTTTTTCCTCCTTGATATTTAGAGGGAATAGATGAGAAGAAGGGAGAGAAGAGTGAGAGGGAGAGAGAATGAGAAAAATTGATGTGAGAGCAGCACATCAATTAGTTGCCTCCTACATGCAACCAGACCAGGCAGCAGAACAAACCTGCAAAGGAGGTATGTACTCTTGACTGATAATTGCACCTATGAACCTTCAATATGCAGGCCAACACTTTAACCACTGAGAAACACCAACAAGGGCTTTATATTTATTTGTTAATTATTTCTGATTTCTAGAAAATATTACTAAATATATATGATCCTGAACTTAAAATCTTACAGAATAAGCCTCCAGTAACATTTTTGGGGTGTCATTAAGTCATGTCAATTATGCAAACATACTGACTTTTCCCTCTGTTCCTTCTTTCATTTTTACTACCTCAATTCTTCAGATCCTCATCTGAAGTACTGACCTAGAGTGACCCTCAGCTCACACCTAGGCTACTTCTGTCTCCATTCCTCGTTCTAGAGTTGTAGTATTTGATCATTAAATAATACAGATCTATTTTTCAAAAACTTTTTACAGCTCCCCTTTGACAATGGGATAAGCCAAATTCTTTAAAATGGGATATAAGCCCAGTCCACAAGATAACAGCATCTTACAATACCGTGTATCAACCTTCTAGTTCTCCAACTAATTTGATTCCTTCCTGCAACTAATCCCCCTTTCAATCAAGAAGTAGACAACCAGAATAGACCAATAACTAGAGAATAATTTTTAAAGAGGTTCAAAAATGTTTTCCATCTTTTCAAATGGTATACTTTTAGAAATGAGTTATTTTAAACTTTCAAGAAAGAAAAATTATCCAATCCTAAAGGACATATTTCTAAGAAAAGAAGATGAAAGGCGTAATTCATTTTCAGAAAGTAGTCAAATTCTGAAATCAAAGTCTGACTACTAAACTAGTGAACAATTTTACTATGAATATAGATGAAAAAACTTTTAAAAAGTAAAGACAAAGAGAACTCAGTATAGTTTAATAATATCCTATCTAAAAACATATAATGATCAAAAGGCATTTATCAGATTTCAAAATTAACCTGTGAGCATGAGATTCTTAGAAGTACATCACAGAAAAAAAAATTGAAACAGGAATCTATACTAATAATAGAGGAATATGCAAATTGGCAAGAATGCCACCATGTAATGACCAATCAGGATGGGGTCTGATTCACGTCCCAGGTAGGATGGAGCAGAACAGCACAAGATATCATCACACTACTCAGAAAAGCATGCAATTTAAAATTTATGAATTGTTTCCTTCTGGGCTTGTCCATTTACAATTTTTACATCCCGGTTGACCATAGGTAACTGAAACTAAGGAAAGTGAAACCACATAAAAGGGGGAACTACTATATGTGTGTACAAGACACATGTACAAGAATGTTGAAGGAAACAACATTCATAATGATCAAAAACTAGAAATACTCAAATGTTCATTGACAGTAGACTGGATAAGTAAATTATATTCATACAACTGAATACTATTCTATATAATAAAGATGCAATATGCAAATGGTTGTTACGCCGTGAAGCGTAACAACCGACAGCATAACAACCCGATCGTGGATCAGCAGGAGGGTGGGACAATGAGCTATAAGCGGGTGGTGGAGAGGTACAGGAGGGGGCAGGGCAGCAAGCTATGAGGGGAGGTGGGGGGGCAGGAGGAGCTACTGGAGGGCGGGGTAGCAGGCGGAGAGCTACTGGAGGGCAGCAGTGAGCTGCTGGCTACAAGCAGTCAGCGGAAAGCTACAGGAGGGGGCAGGGCAGAAAGCTATGAAGGGGAGCGGGGGAGCTACAGGAGGGCAGGGCAGCAGGTAGAGAGCTACTGGAGGGCAGCAGAGAGCTACTGGCGAGCTACTGGCACATGGATTCATGCGCAGGGCTACTAGTCCTATATATTAAAAGTCTAAAATGCTAAGTGTTCAGTCGTCCATTCAACCAATCAAAGCATAATATGCTAATGATATGCTAAGGTTGCTCAACTGCTCACTATGATGTGCACTGACCACCAGGGAGCAGACACTCTGACTGGTAGGTTAGCTTGCTGCTGGGGTCCGCCCAATCGGGACTGAGCAAGATGGGCCAGACATGCCTTGGATCCCGCCCACAGTCCCTCCTTGGCTAGCCAACCTCGCATATCTCTCCCTGGCCCCTCTTGCAATCCAGGCTGAGGGACCCCTTCACCAAGTGCATGAATTTCGTGCACCAGGCCTCTAGTAAAAATTGAAAAGGAGTAAACTAAAGTCACCTTAAATATACATAATATTCAGCCAAAAAAGTGTGAAAGAATACTATGGTATGATCTACACTAATAAAAGACAAACATGCAAATTGACCATACCTTCACTATGCCTTAAGCCACGCCCACCAGCCAATCAGAGCAACTATATGCAAAATAACCCAACCAAGATAGCGGCCAGCAGCAACGGAGCTAAAGAAAGAAGGAGGCTTGCTTGACCCAATGATGGAGGAAACCAAGCTGCCGCGGTGGCTCTGAGCTCCACTCAAAGCAACAAAGTTTCAATTATAGAAGGTAAATAAATCCCAGAATAAAAAAGAAAAAAGAAAAAAAGGAGAGTCTGGGAACTTCTGTTGCTGGAGGGGCTTGGCCAGCCTGAAAACGGCCATCAGCCCCCCACCCAGGCTGGCCAAACCTCCATGGGGTGAGGGTCCCCACTGTGGGGGGGGCTTGAATAGCCTGCAAACAGCCATCAGCCCCTTACCCAGTTTGGCCAGGGACCCCAGTGGGACCCCCACCCTGATCCAGGACACCCTTCAGGGCAAATCAGCTGGCCCCCACCCATTCACCAGGCCTCTATCCCATATAATAAAAGGGTAATATGCAAATTGACCCCAACAGCAGAATGACTGGTCACTATGACACACACTGACCACCAGGGGGCAGATGCTCAATGCAGGAGCTGTCCGCTGGTGGTCAGTGCGCTCCCACAGGGGGAGCTCTGCTCAGCCACAAGCCAGACTGATGGCTGCCAGCACAGCAGTGGTGGCGGGAGCCTCTCCTGCCTCCTCAGAAGCACTAAGGATGTCCGACTGCAGCTTAGGTCTGCTCCCTGCTGGTAAGTGGACATCCCCCGAGGGCTGCTGGGCTTCCATAGGGATGTCTGACTGCCAGCTTGGGCCCATTCCCCCAGGGAGCGGGCCTAAGCCAGCAGGTGGACATCCTCCGAGGGGTCCCAGACTGCAAGAGGGCATAGGCCAGGCTGAGGGACCCCCCCGAATGCACAAATTTTTGTGCACCGGGCTGCTAGTCCTATATAATAAAGAGCTAATATTCTTATTAGACCTAACAGCAGAATGACCAGCCGGACGAAGCTGGGGCTGCAAGGGCCGAGGAAGCTGGGGCTGCAAGAGCCCAGCCCCTTGCACAAATTTTGTGCATCAGGCCTCTAGTCCTATTTATATACAGTTCAAAAAAACAGGCAAACTAAACTAAGTGTGTTTGGGGACACATACTTACATAATGAAACTATAAAGAACTACAATGAATTTATTAAAATAAAAGTGAGGACAGTGGTAACCTTCTGGGGGAAGCAAAGGAACAAGGGATTGTTAGGTTGCTAGAAATGTTCCTTAACCTGGTGATAGTTACACAGGTATTTCTATTGTGGTAAATCATTAAGCTGTACATTTGTATCTTGTATGCTTTTCTGGATGGATGCTTTATTTTACTATAAAAATTTTAATATTAAACAAAAATTGTGAGTGAAAAGATGAGCAGTTATGACTATATACACATTTTTTAAACCTCTTCATAACAAAACTTATATTAAAAGCAACAAAAGGAGAATTCTGTTATTCCTGGCCCGTGTGGCTTAGTTAGTTGGGTGTCATCCCATGCACCAAGAGGTCAAAGGTTCAATTCCTGGTCAGAGCATATGTCCAGGTTGTGGGCTTGACTTACCAGTAGGAGGCAGCCGATTGATGTTTCTATCTCTCTCTCCTTCTACCTTCCTCTAAATAAATAGATAGATGATAGATAGATGATAGATAGATAGATAGATAGATAGATAGATAGATAGATAGATAGATGATAGATAGATAGATAAAAATAAAAGATACAGTGGGGCCTTGACTTACGAGTTTAATTCGTTCCAAGACCGAGCTTGTTAAGGAGCTTGTTAACTCAAATTACTCTATCAACTCAATACAAAAAATCAGCCAAGAGACAGCTGGTATCTCAAAAAACTCGTTAGTCAGGACACTCGTAAGTCAAGGCCCCACTGTATTACAGAAACCTAAATGAATAGTTCTCTGTACTCATTGAATACAAAGAATATAAAAATATATCCAAAGAATAAAAACATAAGCCAATGCATTAAAAATTAATAATGTAACTAGAATTTATTTCTTTATTTTTATAGTTCAATTTTTAAAGATTTTATTTTTATTCTTTTTTCTCTTTTTTGATTTATTTTTATTTTTTAAATTATTTATTGTTGAAAGTTTTACATATGTCTCCTTTTTTCCCCATTGACTTCTCCGGGCCCATTTCCATCCCCCAGCACATGTATGTAACTAATATTTAGAAAATGCTAATGAAACTCTAAATTTATGGCTTATTAAATTAAATTAACCACTACTGTTAGAGTAAAGATTTTCTTCACTGAGGTCACTCAAAATAGATACATATTTTTAAAAGGCTGTCTGATGTATTTCAAGCAATTTGCTTTCCTGAGAATGTATTTCAAAAAATATTATAATTTCAAAAATTACATGTAAAATAATTCTTACCTTGCTTGAGAATTTTGGGAATCTACATTTAACAAGGCTGTAAAATCATGTATGGCTGCATTCCAGTTTTCATTTTCATAGTAAAACATTCCACGCTTCAATAATGCAGCTATTCTTTTGGGATCATAAAAAATGCACTGCATGGGGAGGGGTGTCAGGTTGGAGGGGAGAAACAAAAACAAATCACATAATGGGGAAAGGACAAACAAGAAAAATATATAACCCCATAGAAATTAAATGGGCTACAGCCACATTTTAAACTTCAGATTATATAAAAGCAAAGTACTGCAGATGCAAAAATTTTTAGATTTGCATTTAAATACCACGTCTTTAGGAAATTCACTTATCATCAAGTTCTAGAAAGAGGAGGTTTTCTGAAAGAGAACTAAAATGGCATGTACAAGCAACCAAGGCTTCACCCCACTGAAATTTTTACAGATAAAATTTCATAAATGACTTGTTCACTTAGTGTTATATTGGCTCTATCAATTTTACCCCAATATATTCTCAGCATTTTATTCCAATTAAAGATAATACATATTAGACTGTCTACATATTAGACTGAATAGACCAAGGCTGATTCTATCAAATAAAATATGGATTAATCTAATCCCTAAAATGGTAAAAGCAAATGAATTGGTATTGGCATGATTTATTCATTTCATATTGACATATAGACAATAGAGTAAACAGACTAAATCATTGTATACTCAGTTATAAAGCTCCTCACCATTGATACTAGGGGTGAGGGTGGGGAGAAGTATAAAAATTATCAAGTAATAATAATAATAATTATTATTATTATTATTATTTTTAAAATAAGGAAACAAAAAAACCTAAAGATATTGAAGTTTGTTTGGCCTAATGTTACTTCATTAGTCAATTTTTAAATTATTGGTGCCAGATGGAAGAAATGAATAAAATAGGTAATCTAATGATTTCAATATCTTCAAAAGAAAATAGTATTGAAAAGATTTTATTTAAGACCAGAGGTTATCAAACTTATAATCTCTTGAAGCAAAAATAATGTCAAGTGTATGACTAACCATCAAGGATTAAGAAACATGGCAGTTGGGAAAATGAAAAGATAAATTATGTAAATAACTTCTAAATTCACAACTGTACTAAGAACTAAGAATTTAGAGTTAAAAGTCAGGAGGTCAAGGTTAAAATTATTCTGCAATCAGAGGAATATTTTGCCTGGTTATATAGAGTCTCAATGTACAATTCAGCCAGAAGTTCACTTCTTGAAGGGAATTCCCTGATATCCCATAGCAAATATAAATTACCCCCCCATCTTTTTTATTTTCTTAATAGGAGTTATCATAATTTGTAATTATATATTTACCTATGTATTTATTTCTTTAATGTCTGTCCTTTAAACTATAGGCTCCGTATAAGCAAGAAGCATGTCTATTTTATTCATGAAGTTTTATTCACTACATTATAGAATGCCTTAGTCAATAAATATTTGTTCGTGAATGAATGAGTGAGCAATAAGCACAGCTTCTTTAGAAGTAGATGGTTTTGCGACAGAAGAGAATCAGCTGTGTCTCAAGAGTTAAGTGGAAAATGGTTTCCTCTGTTGTTTAAAGGGAAGAAGCAATTTTCAAAGGTTTCCTAGAAAAGTCAAACCCCCCTCAGGATTGACTCAAATCTCCAAAATCCAACTCTGATTGAATCTATTCATTCACTACTAATAATAGTTTTAAATTATTTGACATAGTAGTAATATCAATTCCATAATGAATGCCCTGGGTCCTAACCTGTAATAAATAATTTTGATTATACAATGCTTTGCTATAATATTAGGACGAGAATATCATAAACTAAAATATATAAATAATGGCAGCATTATATGTGATACAACTTACTGTAGAAAAGTCATCCATGGCCAGGAATTTGTTTGTTAATTCATACATCTCACCCCTCCTGAAATATATATCAGCATCCCTGGGCTTCAACTTGATTGCCTTGGTGTAATTTAGAATTGCCAGAGTAACTTCTTTTCTTTTCCTGAAAATTTCTGCCTTTGACAAATATGCCTCTAAAGAAAATATAAAAGGCACAATTTAGTGGTACAGTCCTTTTAAAGGAAAAATCTTTAAGACTAATCCCTCTTTCTCCAAAACTCCAGTCTTAGAATATTATACTTTCTTAACCATTTATGGCAAGGATTTTGTGGGGGTGTTCCCCACCCCCAACAATAAAAAATTTGTTCTCAAAGTCTGTATAAATAATCATTTATGGTTGAAAGCATTTTCAATTTCAATTTAAAGTAACAGAAATTAACTATTTCTTTTTTGAATGTCTGAAATATTTCATAATCTTTTAGTGTTTGTAGTAAAAGTTAGATTTTGATGGCACAAAATTTTTTGCAGTTTTAAGCTCGTGATACATTCTAGGGATATGTGGTGGACGCTGGGATACGAAGATGAGTATAACATTTTCTCACTCCCAAAAAGTTTCATGGGCAGTAGTTCGAGTTGGTTAGAATATGTTACAGAAGGTCAAATGTGTAGATTTCATCCAACCAAAAAGTCTTAGGAACACTACAATCTAATTCAGAGATTTGTGGTTAAGAAAAGACTTGCGACTCACTTCTATAGCTAAAAATTTTTAAAGACATTTTTCTCTTGGGGTAAACAGTAAGCAACCAATTTATTGTAATGTATACCAAAACCTTCACATTTCAAACCATTATTTTGAAAATAATATAGGATCATATGAGTCTTAAATTTATGTCAGTAGTAAATTTAACTTAGGAGTGTCACAACCTGTTCGGAGACCTGGGTCTATTGATTTATGTATCTTTATAGTACCATTAAATGACCACAGATTTGGTATAGATATAATTAGTATAACTGTCTGCACAGACAACCCACCTGCATTATTTTTATTGTATTTAGTTATATAATTCAGATCATCCAAAGCTTCATTAAATTTGTCTTGGAAAAGATAAATGAGATGTCGGTGCCAATAGGCATTGAGAAACAATGGTTCCAAGAATATAGCCTAGAAAATATATGTATAAATTCAATTAAAGTTGATTTACTGAAGGAAAATATACTATCAGATTTCAAGCACTATTGATCCCAATTGCTTTGTATGTGTATGATACAAAATAGTACCTCCCAATCTGACAAATAAGATCTAGTGCTTTTGATATTTATTATTTGAAAATGTCAATAAATATAATTTTATAATCTCAAAGGTACACTACGAATTAATTGTTTAAAATTTTAGTAAAAATTACTATACAGTTATATGCAAGTTTAAATTGTTAACATTGTTATTTTGATTAAATAAAACTTACTTCCTGTAGATCATCCATGGCACTCTGTAACTTCCCCAGTTTCCTATACAGAGCGCCACGCCTACAATATGAAAATGCAGAATATGTTGTCTTGTTATTTATTTCTTCAGTCAAGATCTTCACTTCAGATTCATAATGTTTAATGACTTCTGGAGGAAGATCACACTTCAAAGAATCATTCAGTTCTAGTTTTGGTGGTCCTTTCTCTTTGACAGGCACATCTTTCTGAACAATTATTTTAACAACTTTCTCTTTTCCGGTTGTCTTCTGAGGTTTTTTCTTAGAGAATATATCAAGAATCCATGTTCGAAAGTCACTATCTTTTGGAATTCCTCCCTTACTTTCGGCAAATTTGTCAAAATTTAAATATGCAGGCAAGCTGGGGCACCGAAATTGACGATCATATAAAGGAAGTTTGAGCAAATATTTCTTCTGTTCTGGAAGGATTCCATGAGACATTGACCTAGGTTTTAAAAAGTAATCTTTTTAATCTACAGAAATATAATTACTTTTATAATCAATAAATCAACTCAACCACAAACAAAATTACCATTTCTCTGTTGTTCACCCAAGTCACCCAGAGGCTTGTTAAACACTGATTTCTGGTGTATTAGCTGGATTTGGTGGTCACAATTACCAAAATAAACCACAGGGACAGAACAGTAATCACAGGATTTTAACTCGCAACGATCTGTGGCAATAACTAAATGAGATAGATGGGCAGCCCACTAAGGTGTTCTTTTACTTATTATTTATCTAAGAACATCTAGAAGGTTTTCACCTCTAGGTGAAACCTCTTACCCAACTTTCAGACCTAAGCCAGTTCACAGTCCAAAGCCTCTTAACCTGACAGGGAGGCCACGCCCCATTGAGAAAGGATCTTGCTATGTGGCCAAATTATTCAGGGTGTCCCAAAAAATGTATACACACTTTAACAACTAATAACTCAATTTTGAAAATGAAATGTATTTTAATAAACACTGTCTTTTTAATTATTCAAGTGTGCAGATACATTTTTGGGACACCCTATATTTAATGACTTATTCCCCAAAAGCTTCCAAAGATCTTGGAAAGAGTAAATACCCAATGCTTCTGGGACTTATTAGATACTGGCTCTAAAACTTATGCTGATCTACAGATACCCACTATAAATGCCACTGAAATCCATCAATGAAATTAGGGAATTATGAAGACCAAGTGGTAGAAAGAATCTTGGCCTGAAACCACCTAACAGTGGATCTAATGAGACATGGAACCATCCTGTGATAATTCCCCTAGTCCTAGAATGTGTAGTGGCAATAAATCAATTAATAACTACATAAGCTGTACACTGAGGGAGATAATGATAATAAAGGTTAAATGGAAATCTCTGGAACTAACCCATTCCATCCCATATTGTCCACCAACATAATATACTAAAAGCAATACTTGACCATTAGGAAAATTACAGATTAATGGTACTTAGGAATATAAGTCATCTCCTCCTTGTAGAAAATAAATCTGCCTGTCTTGTGTAGTGAAGCAAGACAGACCAAGAAAACCAGGATTGCAACCACAGATTCACTGTCAGGACGAGGTCAAGTTTGGAAGTGCTAGCCAAGTTTGGGAGCTAGCCAAGAATGAGTGTGATTAAACAAACTTAAAGAGCTGATATGCCGGAACCGGTTTGGCTCAGTGGATAGAGCGTCGGCCTGCGGACTGAAAGGTCCCGGGTTCGATTCCGGTCAAGGGCATGTACCTGGGTTGCGGGCATATCCCCAGTAGGAGATGTGCAGGAGGCAGCTGATCGATGTTTCTCTCTCATCGATGTTTCTAACTCTCTATCTCTCTCCCTTCCTCTCTGTAAAAAATCAATAAAATATATTAAAAAAAAAAAAAAAAAAAAAGAGCTGATATAAAATGGTAAGAAAGGTATTTCTGTGTTAACCAAGTTAAGGTTAGTGAAAGAAAGATCTCAACCTATAAAAATAAAAAATTTTTGAAGTTGCTTCATAAATTTGTTTTAAAATAACAATTATTTCATACTATAATTCTGTGGTAATTTAATGTAAGATTTTTTTTAAAAATAAAGTAGGAAAGCTCTACCAATGTATTATCTTAGATCAATATTCCCATAATTTGTTTTATTGCCTCTACCTCTGCCTATACAAATTTCAAATTTAGTTATTAAAAAGCAAATAAATCTCTTTATTTTTTAAAAATACATTTTTATTGATTTCAGAGAGGAAAAGAGAGGATGAGAGAGATAGAAACATCAGTGATGAGAGAGAATTATTAATCAGCTCTCTCCTGCATCGTCCCCAATGTGGGATCGAGCCCACAACATGAGTATGTGTCCTGATCGGAAATTGAACCATGACATCAACTACTAAGCCTGCAGTTGGGCAAAAAGCAAACAAATCTCTTTACATGTTAAATTTTATAATCAAAACTAGAGGCCTGTTACACAAGAAGATTTGTGCAATAGGCCTTCCCTTACCCTGGCTGCCGGCACCAGTTTTCCTCCGGCACCCGGGACCCAGGCCTTCGCTCCAGCCGGAGCTGCCTTCAAGGCCTTCGCTGCTCCCGCCGGAGCCGCTACAGTCTTTGCTCTGCTGCTTAGGGACTAGGTATGCAAATTAACCGCCATCTTTGTTGGCGGTTAATTTGCATATCTCGCTGATTAGCCAATGGGAGGTATAGCGAAGGTATGGTCAATTACCATGTTTGTCTATTATTAGATAGGATGACAAAGGACCAGGAAGCAGGAAAACATCCCACCAAAGCAGTGTTGAATCTGCTATTATCCTTTATATACTAATAGATAGAAATCACTTCAGTGCACAGCCAAAGTACAGGTGCACAGCCAAAATAGTGCTGTGTAGTATCCTTTCTAAGATGGTGAAATTCATAATACTTTGAAGAGAGAAAATGTATCAAAAATGTATAAGCAATCTTCTGATTCAGATCCAAAACATTTGTCAACATAGAAAAACCTACGTAAAGTCTTCTAAAAATGATCTAACAAAAAACCTTCCAGATATATTTGTTGCAGGGGAAACAAACTTTAGTGCACAGAGAACTTGGTGCTTGAATGGCATTCTCCACTAAGGTTGATCTCTATCTGCTTACACCTACATAGGATTATTCCCAGTCTCAGTCTTCTAAAGGACAATAAGTTACCACACTAACATATAATGAACCCTTTTCAGAATTAGCAATTATTTATAAAGTGAACAACACATTTGTGACTCTCTTATCATCAGGAAAGTCTTTACTTTTCAAAAGGACATAAGTTTAATGAAGTATTTATTGCAACTTGGGGATACTGAAAGAGAACAAAGCCCACAGCTTTTTGGAAACTATTTTGACAATGCCTGGGTCATAAGAAAGTTATGTTCTGAACACTTAAGTATTAACATACCTGGACTTTCAGTTGTTGTTAATTTAGGTCCCTCCATATTTCTAAACATGATACTATTACTTCCAAGGTGGAAGAAAAATTGTTTGTGTTGATCTCTGAATTAGGGTTCATAACATACAAAAAACAATTTGTCTATCTGGATTTATTACTCAATTCAATAGTTTAAAATTTTTTTAAATATTCAACTTCAGCAATCTATTTTGGCTTTGAATGGGTGGGATTTGTTTGGAGCAGTGGTTGGGTTTTGGTCCTAACTAACTTCGGAAAAATAACAGATTTTATTTTTTTCTACTAAAAGATTTCATTTAGCCATCAAATTGATTTAGTCTTCCTTCATGCCCTTATATCAGCCCCACATTCAATGAGTGTGTTTATAAAGTTAAATCCAAAACCACAATGCATTTCTTAAATATAATAATTATTGATTAAACAAAACCTGCTTAGAATTTTTGGAGGCTTGGATAACTCAGCCAACACAATTGAAAGTTTAGAGAATTTCAATGCTTTCTTCCATTTCATCTTCTTTTTCTTGGGGTAAACAATGTAACTAATGCCAGCTTTTCTAGATGCTTCAATGAGAGAAATAGACAGATTTCTCAGACTGTGACTGTCCTCCATGGTATCTAAGATGTTATCTATATTTTCTTTCACAGTGATGGTTTCCTCAGTTTCATTTTGCTCAAGCTTCTGACGACGCTCCAACTCCTTAGCTTTCTGAAACAGCACCTCTTTTATATTGCTTTCCATGTCATTCTTAACCTCTAATGGAGCTTTGGTAGTCTCCTTAATCAATTCAACTGCAGAATTTCTTCTCTTCTTAATGAGAAAACAAAGAGGCAGAAAAAAATAAAATCAATTTAGTTGATGTACATTTAAAATTAATTTAATTACAATTACTATTAATGCAGTTTGGTCACTATTGAAAAAAATTTTAAATCATGTATTCTTTTTTTAAATATATTTTATTGATTTTTTACAGAGAGGAAGGGAGAGGGACAGAGAGTCAGAAACATAGATGAGACAGAAACATCGACCAGCTGCCTCCTGCACACTCCCTACTAGGGATGTGCCTACAATCAAGATACATGCCCTTGACCAGAATCAAACCTGGGACCTTTCAGTCTGCAGGCCGATGCTCTATCCACTAAGCCAAACCAGTTAGGGCAAATCATGTATTCTTAATGTTCTTAAAAAGTTTATAAAGTTAATTGGGATGTAATGTGCAGCATTATAGCATCAAATACTGTCTTGCATATTTCAAAGTTGTTAAGAAAGTAGATCTTAAAAGTTCTCACTACAAGAAAATAATGTATAACTATGTGGTCATGGATGTTAACTAGACTTTCTGTGGTGATTATTTCACAGTATATACAAATATCAAATAATTATTGTATACCTAAAACTAATATGTTATATGTAAATAAAATAAATTTTAAGAATAGTGTCAGTGCCCAGGGATACAAAACAGAGGAACCAACAAGTTAATAAGAAAGAAGAATATCAGAAATATAATAAGAAGCATGATAAAGTTAGGCAAATTACGAGCAGGTCAGAGGCAACTGATGTGGAGAATCAAGAAAGCTATCAGATTTTGTGGGGAGGGGGAGCGTGGAAACACCTTGGAGCTAGGGCTCAATGCCACTGAAGGTAAGAACCAGCTGCTCAGAAATGCCTATGTATTGGTAAAGAGGAAGTCCATTTCATTTGGTAAGAAGAGGTGTGGGTTTAAAGTACTTGCTCTACCATTTATTTATTTACTAGAGGCCTGGTGCACAAAAATTTGTGCACTCAGGGTGGTCCCTCAGCCCAGCCTGTGCCCTCTCTCAGTCTGGGACCCCTCGGGAGATGTCCACCTGCTGGCTTAGACCCGTTCCCCGGGGGATTGGGCCTAAGCTGGGCAGTCAGACATCCCTCTGGCAGCCCGGGAGCCCTCAGGGGATGTCCATTTGCCAGCAGGGAGCAGGCCTAAGCTGCAGTCGGACATACTTAGTGCTGCTGAGGAGGCGGGAGAGGCTCCTGCCACCACCTCTATGCTGGAAGCCATCAACCTGGCTTGTGGCTGAGCAGAGCTCCCCCTGTGGGAGCCCACTGACCACCAGGGGGTAGCTCCTGCATTGAGCGTCTGCCCCCTGGTGGTCAGTGTGTGTCGTAGTGACCAGTCATTCCCAGGTGTGCTGCTGTTATGGTCAATTTGCATATTACCCTTTTATTATATAGGATAGAGGCCTAGTGCATGGGTTGTAGCTGGCTGGTTTTCCCTGAAGGGTGTCCTGGATCAGGGTAGGGGTCCCGCTGGCATGCCTGGCCAGCCTCGGTGAGAGGCTGAGGGCCGTTTTCAGGCTAGCCACACCCCCTTCAGGGAGGGGGTCCCTGCTGGGGTGCCTGGCCAGCCTAGGTGAGAGGCTGATGCCTGTTTGCAGGTTGGCCAAGCCCCCCAGCAGGAACCCTCAGCCCATGGAGGTGTGGTCAGCCTGGGTGAGGGACTTATGGCTGTTTGCAGGCTGGCCACAGCCCCTTCAGGGTGGGGGATCCTGCTGGGGTGCCTGGCCAGCCTGGGTGAGGGGTTGATGGCCATTTTCAGGCTGGCTTCACACCCCAGCAGGGACCCTCACCCAATGGGGGTGTGGCTAGCCTGGGTGAGGGGCTGAGTGCCATTTCAGGCTGGCCACACCGCCTTCAGGGTGGAGGTTCCCACTGGGTGCCTACTTGGTGAGGGGCTGATAGTCATTTTCAGGCTGGCCATGCCCCCCAGTGACCCAGGCTCCCAGCCCCTCCTTGAGCAGAGGCCATGGCCAGCTGGAAGCAGGTATCTGGGATTTATTTATCTTCTATATTTGAAACTTTGTAGCCTTGAGCAGAGCCCAAGCTGGCCAGAGCAGGTGGGAAGCTTGGCCTCCTCCATCGCCAAGGGCAACCCAAGCCTCCTGCTCACTCCAGCTCCGTGGCTGCTGCCATCTTAGTTGGGTTAATTTGCATGCTCGCTTCTGATTGGCTGGTGAGTGTGGCTTGTGGGCGTGGCTTGAGCATAGCAGAGGGACAGTTAATTTGCATGTTTCTCTTTTATTATATAGGATTTATTATTTATTTATTTTTTGCTCTTCCATTTATCACTTTTTGGCCATTGCTTTGTTTTAAAATTGTGCGCATGATGCAAGTGTAGGTCAATATTGTAAGTGACTTGATTTATAATATACCAGGTAAAGTCAAACTATGACTATGAGATACTTCCAAGTGCCACTGAAAATTTTAACTTGGAATCACCAACCACAATCATACATGGGCTACCAGATACACACTCAAATCCAAACTTTCAGTCAACTCTGGATGAAACAACCAGCCCCATATTTCAGGAAAACAAAAAAAGCACAGGTGGTGATTATTACTAGTAAGATAAATATTTCTTTTGAATAATAAAAACTGAAAATCATCATACCTTTAATATTGAAGATGGTGTGCTGAAATCTTTTGGGATATTTTCACATGATAAAGATTTTCTTTGGGACAATATCTAAAATAATAAAATGGTAATTAGGCCCTGGCAAGGTAGCTCAGTTGGTTAGAGTGTCATCCCAATGTGCCAAGGTTGTGGGTTTGATCCCCCTTCAAGGTTCATACAAGAAGCAACCAATGAATGCATAAATAAGTGGAACAATAAATGGATATATTTTCTCTCTCAATCTCTGTTTCTCTCTCTTCCTTTTTCTGTCTCTCTAAAGTCATCAATAAAGAAAAATTAAAAGGGTAATTATACACTGGCTGTAGATACCATGTGTTAAACTAAAATATATGACAGTTGACTATTGGTAACTGCTTAGGTAAGTTAACAAAATGCAGAAAGACTGATTAAGTAAGTTTCTTACTGATTTTGAAGTCATTAAATTGACAGAGAAGAGCAGAACATAAAATCTACTCATTGATTTTGAAATTCTTTTTTAAAATTTAACTAGTTAGTATCTGCTCTGTGTAAAGTGCTATGTGCATTTTTCCGGTTGGCATAAGTGGCACAGGTGCGTGTGAATGTGCCGTGGATATGCTGAGCCATTAATCCCTTAGCCCTGGAGCTGTAATTGTGGAACCTGGAGCAACTACTGCTCCATGAACACTCACCTCTAATCATGAGTAACTTCAACCTTCTACTCCACAGGAGCACACAAATGTTATCACTTATTATCTCTTACTATTATATTAAAAGAGTTGGGAAGTATATCAGTATGTTCCATGACCTCAACCACTATTATGGTAGAAACAGACATAAAGAAATAACTATAATCCAAATTGGCTGTGGCAGTGAGATGGCATAAATCAGATGTGAAAAAACCCAAGAGAGAGAGGTCAATTCTGAATGGAAAAGAACCTTAACAGACTGGCTTAAAGAGGTACGTAGCATCAGGGTTGGTTGTGAAAGGCCACGACATTTCTATGGACTGAGAAGGGATTGCGAACATCCCAGGCCAATGGAATAGCCTAAACATGAACCTAGAAGTGTCCAAGTGCTGGGATTTTGGTCCCCACGGACTCTGGTGCAGACAGAGTACAGGTACATAGAGGCTACATGGAGGCAGAAGTATACTAGGAAATAGGATAGAAAATATACTTGAGGCCAGGTTATGAGACTTAGTCAAGCACTCTAACTTTATTTGGTAGGTGGAATTATTCAGTTTGTTAAGACATAAGTAACATAATCATACCTGTGTTTTAAGAATATATAGCAGGGGCAGGAAAGAGGATAGATTGGAAAAAGCTGCTACTAAAAATGGGAATTATCTGACAGGTAGGTATAGGTCCAGCTACTACAGTAGTCTAGAAAGTGCAAATGGCATTTCAAACTAGAAAGTGTCATTTGTTGGTTCAATTATTTTGTATGTGATGGTCACCACTCTAGGTGTTATGGATAAAACAGTGAACAAGAATGATATGACCCCAGGCTGGTGAGGGAAACAAAGATCAAACATATATAAGGATAAACATTTAATAAGTGCTACAAGGAAAATAGAAAGAGAGTGGTCTGTATTAAATAGAAATATTATCCCCTCAAAAAAAAAAAAAGTATTACCTGAGTATATGGGAAAAGGCATGGACATATAGTCTAGTTAACTGACTAGAACAGGGATTTGATTTGTCCCGCGGGACTAAGACTCTCTACTGTGTAACACTTAGCTTCCCGAGATACCATCCAAGGGGAGTAGAGGGCTGAAGGCACTAATGAGAGAAAAATAACTGTTTCTTGCTTATCCCCATAGCATTCAGGAAACTTATTAGACCAATTATATAAATTGGTCTCAGTCACAATCTCTTTCCTCCATGATTGTGTGTATTATTTAATTCACTTACTTGGATACACTGTAGTGATAAAGATGAACACAAGTCTAATCGCCATTTAGAGAATTCAGTTTTACTCTGTTTCATGGCCATGAACAATTCCCCATTATAAAAACCCTTATAATCATGTTCCTTTGATCATTGAGGACCTAGGCAAGAAGTGGTGACTACAAAACCAGAAGTTTTAGAAATGTTAGGAAAACTCATAGCAGATACCCTGCCATTGATTAGTAAATAACATCTTGTGGGGGTCATGAAGACAACATGTTTCAAAAGAGAAAATGTGCTCTCAACAAAGACACCAGCAAATGTTGTGAGACATTTTCTGGATTGGAGAAGCACCAAGAAATAATTTCAGGATTTCTAGAAATATTATCTGAGCTACAGGCAGATAAAACAACCAACCTACAATTCAGAATTAAAAGTATACATACCCTCAGACTTCTGCTACGCTGACTTAAAGCAATGACACTTTCCTTGCTTTCAGATAAAAAATTCTCAATTAAAATTCTACTTGCTTGAACACTCTGTGGTAAAAAGATAACAGTTTTAAATTATATAGTGAAATACTTTTAAAAGCCTATGATTTTTTTTATAAACCTATGATCACTGTCACTCTACAAAACAATATTACAAAAGAGAAATGTATGGAAAGGATAGAATTGCAGAAAACATTCACTAGAGTTGCATCAAAGTCAAGTGAATACACCTACATTATTTCTGGCAACCCTAATCTTAGGAGCAATCAATGATCCTGTGATATACAGGTTCAATACAGGTTAGTATTGAATCTATGCAGCATGTCAACAGCAGGATTATGAATAAAACACATCATTTGGAGTGACTGTCAATGTTACTATTGACTGTGAACTACAAGTAAACATTCTAAATGTTAAACTAAATGAAAATCTCCTTATATTTCAAACTCTATCAGTGAATTTTTATGTATGCACATTTATTGTTGTATGGGTAAACTGCTGCAGTGGTTATAATTATTATTAAATGTGCTATTTCTCTATCCTGTAATCAGCAATTTAGATATGGAGAAACAAACAGTACTTATTCAATTCATTCAAAAAACACTTATTCAGTTGAAAATCAGCTTTAAAAAGCACCATGTAATTATCACTGCGAATGAAACAGATATGGAGAAGACTATGGGTAACTTAGGAATCACCAAGTATTTGGTTTTTTTTATACATCCTCTTTTGTTGTATTTCAAAAAGTAGTTAGAGCACATTGAAAGAATATTACCAGACATAACAAAAAGAGACTTGGGTTATTTTATCATTATTCTTCAAAGACAAACTATGGAACAATTTTGTCATACGCCTACACAAAATATTTAAATATGATGGAATAGCAGCAATTACATATAGGGTAGGGCTAAAGTAGGCTTACAGTTGTTTGTATAGAAAATAACACAATAATTAATTGGAAAATATAAGAATACATTCTGTGTTTCATTTACAACTGTAAACCTACTTCTGTCTCAGCTGTATTTAAAAGAATGCTTTTAACAATAACAAGGACAAAACCTTAATACAGCAGGTCCTCGAGTAACGTTTTATAACATTGATGCAATGCCATATGAACTTAACTATTTTTATATCAATCAGCCTATGGCAAAATCAGTCCTAGTACATGTCTTTTTGCTTTAAGTCATGGAACCTATCCACAGTGTTAAGTGAGGACTTACTGTAGTGTACTTTACATATACTAAAACAGCAGAATTTACTAACAATCAATTATTGCTTTTTAAAAGAGAACATGATTCATATGTTGGAACCTGTCAAAATATTGCCCAAACTAATTTGCTTTTAGGGCAATTACAGTATTGCTTACATGATACCTGATGGAATATTGCTCCACTCCAGGAATATTGCTGAAATTGGTATGCATGCAATAAAAGCTAGGATGCAGGTAAATATGAAAACAATTATGACTTCTGCTTTTAATTATGGCATGCTAGATAATTCTGCTGAGGAAAACTAAGAAAGCTACATGTAATATGAAAAACATAATCTTCAAAGCATCAAAAAGCTAACAAGATGATGAACAGATAGAAGGTCAAAATCTAAGAAAAGGCCGGAATCTGGAAAGGTAAGTCCAGAATTCAAAGATGCTTTTATTCTCAGGATGTATGCTAAAATAGCTGCCAATTTGAGATGCAGATATGCAACTTCCTGGGTCAAGGGTGACAGAAATTGAAGACCAGAATTTACCTGATCTACCTGAGGTGTCAAGCCTGATTTTATTTATATATATATATATATATATATATATATATATATATATATATATATATGTGTGTGTGTAAATATTCAAAACATACAAGTATTCAAGGCTATACATTCAGGTTAAGAGTGAATGAAAGGAGGGACCCTTTCCCCTTCCCCACTAGGAGTCTGTACTTGTTCTTCAATAAATCTCCACCTTTGCTATATATATATTAAATGAATGAAAGGGCCTTGGCTGGTGTGGCTCAGCTGATTGGGCATCGTCCCATGCACCAAAAGTCACCACGCCTGAGTTGTGGGTTTGATCCCTGATTGGGGTGTGTGCAGGAGGTGACTGATCAATGTTTCTCTCTCATATCCATGTTTCTCTCTCTCCTCCTTTCCTTTCCTCTTTCTCTAAAATCAAGAAAAACATATATATGCTCACAAAACAATCACATGTGTCAAAAAAAGGAGTGAAGGAAAGAAAATTAACCTTTGTGTAGATTTTCAGCTGGGGCTTTATCATGAGGGTGGTCAGAGAAACACAAGCCTCAACCTTATATTAAGGCTGTCTCTGAGTGGTAAAGTTCCCCGGTTCTGACAAAAAAATTTTTCCTGGAGAAAGTAACCACCATTCTATGTCTCAAATATTTCCTAAAACTAATGTCTTAAATATAATGATACACATTTAAAGACAGATACACAAAGAAACAAAACACCACAAAATAACAGATTTAGAGAAAAATTTAAATTCTAAAAAGAAAAACACAAAACCAAATTTTAAAACTACAGTAGCCCTGGACAGCATCCCAGTGGTTAGAGCATCGGCCTGTAGACCCAAGGGTCACTGGTTCAATTCCCTGTCCAGGGCATGCACCTGGGTTTCGAGTCCAATCCCCAGCCCCAGTTGGGGTGTGTGGGGGAGGCAACCAATGGACAGACGTTCCAACTGCAGACTTCCCACTTTGTTTAAAAAAAAAATCTAAAGGACATACTTTATGAAGTCAGTAGGTAAAATGATTCCAGAAAGAAAGCTCTGAGTTCAGAGGTTCTCAACCTGTGGGTCGCGACCCCTTTGGGGGTCGAACAACCCTTTCACAGGGGTCGCCTAAGACCATCCTGCATATCAGATATTTACATTACGATTCATAACAGTAGCAACATTACAGTTATGAAGTAGCAACAAAAATCATTTTATGGTTGGATCACAACATGAGGAACTGTATTTAAAGGGCCAGAAGGTCGAGAACCACTGCTCTGAAATGCTAGGAAAAGAAAATAAATAAAAAAGAAAGAAAGTTAAATACATGGGTAAAATGTAAGGAATAAGGCAAAATGATAATATTTAGATGGCTTTAAAAGATAAGTATAGAAGAGAAAATGGTGGCTGAATACACAAACCTTTCTTGCACCTCCTCCCAGGGCCACACTAGAAATAAAGCTAAAGTGGGAAACATACATCCAAAATTACCAAGTGAGGTCCAGCTGAGGAGGAGGCATATAGCAGGGAAGAACAGAAAACACCTGGAGACTGGTAGGAAGGGACAGGTTGAAAGAGGGACTAATCCATCTTCCATGGGCTGCAGGCCAAGAGTGAAGAGGGATCTTTTGGCTACAGGAGGGTCTTTTCCTTTAAAAGATCAAGGCCTCCCGGAACCCGTGCTGGGCTTCCCAGCACTGAGCTGTTACAGTAACTCATGTAACATCCAGCTGTAAAAGGTCGGGAGTCTGGAGCCAGTAGACTTGAGCTGGTCAGAGAGAAAGCCTTGGTTTCTGTTGTGTTTGTTTGCTTGTTTGTTTTTAAAATACAGATCACAGGAGTTTCATTTGCAGCTATTCACTGAAGGCTTTATTGGAGGGAGGGCAGTGTGGACTCAAGATGCATAAGGCAGCGGTTCTCAACCTGTGGGTTGCAACCCTTTTGGTGGTCGAACGACCCTTTCACAGGGGTCACCTAAGACCATCCTGCATATCATATATTTACATTACAATTCATAACAGTAGCAACATTACAGTTATGAAGTAGCAACGAAAATAATTTTATGGTTGGGTCACAATGTACTGGGCTGCATATCTGGCACTTTGGCCAGACGGGGGGCGCTGTGCTGTCTGTTCCTAAAACACATAGATAGGAAGGTACTGATACTATACTGTGTCGGGAATTAAGGTTTTGTAACTTTGTGGTTTTTGCAAATAAAAATTCTGTAATTCCTGTAGTCTGCGCTGCAGTTCAGCCTTTGCTTCGGCAGGGTGCTATAACTGTAGTCAGCTGGCCAGCTTAATAAAAGCTCTTAAATTTAAATTCTGAGTCGGTGGTCTATCTCGCTGAGTGAACCCATAACAACAACATGAGGAACTGTATTTAAAGGGCCAGAAGGTTGAGAACCACTGACATAAGGAGAGGCTGGGGCAAGAATCATTGGGGGGAGACGTGGAAAAATAGCAGCCAGGAGTCCTGCATTTGGGTATACCCACTCCCCAAACTGAAACAGCCATTTTTCCTGAAAGGAGCTAGCCCCTCCAAGAAGCCACAGCTAAGGAAAAGGAAAAAAACCCCACCTGACACACCCTCAGGAGCCCTGACAGCCACACCCAACATCCTGACCTTTCACAGAGGAGACAAGCCTAGGGGTTTGAACAGTCTTAGGAAGCAACAGTGACTAGACTGGGGATGGAGCCATCCACCCCACTATCCAGGGTACCTGACTGATGCTTCCCCTGAATGGGAAAGCTGATAGGAAAGGTTTCCAGGTGACCTCACTGGTCTTCACACAAGGATCTCTGCCCCACCAAAGGCAAAGTAATATTCTGAACCACTAGCAGAGGAGTAGCTCTAGCACAGGGATACACACCACCACTTTCCCTGAGATCTAAACAATACCTCCCCCTCATGGGAGACCCAGAGGTCTAGACTCCCAATTCTTCCTAAAGCCCTTTCAGAAACAGACATTTGAGTGATTAAGATTGACAGCTGGCTGGCAGGCAAAGGAGGGGGGAGGTGGAGACCCGGGAAACTGGGGAAACTCACTAATCCAGCTTTGAGGCCCATGCTGTTAAAAAAAAAAACTTGCTTTAGCCCTAGCAGGTTTAGCTCAGTGGATACAGCATCAGCCTGTGAACTGAAGGGTCCCAGGTTTGATTCTGGTCAAGGGCAGGTACCTCAGTTGCAGGCTCCTGGCCCTAGGCTAGGGCATGCAGGAGGCAACCAATCGATGTGTCTCTCTCACATCGGTGTTTCTCTCTGTCTCTCCCTCTCCCTTGCACTCTCTCTAAAAATCAATGAAAAAAATATTCTCAGGAGAGGATTTTTTTTTTTTAATTGCTTTAGAGGGCAACTTGGCTCCTCCCACATGCAGCCAAGTCCTGTGGAGACAGACCCAAACTGTGGGTCAGTTGGAGCTTCAAACAGGTTGCTGAAAACCAAAGGAGGACAGTTTCTGACAGTGGTTAGCAACTAAGTACTTCCCAGGAAGTCCAAAATTGGCATACAGAACAGTTGGCTGCAGTCAGAAGAAGAGCAGGATTCAAAGGGAGCTCCCAGGAGGCACTAAACTTTGCTAAGATGAATGCCACTTCACTTTTTTCTTTCTTTTTTTTTTCTCTCCCCTTTTCTAATTTATCTTCTGTATCTATCTACTTTATTGATTTGATAGTATTTTAGTCTCTACTGTTTCATTCATATATCTAATTTTTCTCTTCCTTTTTCCTACTCAATCATTTTTTTCTTTTTCTCCTGCTTTTGTATCTTTTTTCTTTCTTTCTTATTTTGGGCCTACCTGCTTTCTCCTCTATTTTCCTTTTCAACTTTTTTTCTTATTATTTTATTTTATACCATTTTCATTCTCCTAGACTTTATTCTTATTTTCTTTATTTCAACTCTTCCCCTTCATATACCTTTTTCTTCTCCCCCTTTTTTTATGTTTTTTTGTTTTGTTTTGTTTTTGTTTGTTGTTTTTTCCTCATATTTTTTCTTACTTCCTTTTCTTCTATCATTCTTACTATTTTTTTCTTTCTACTAATTCTCTCTTCTCTGGTGGTTACTTTTGTTATTGTTGTATGTTTTGGTTTTGTTTCTTTTGTTGCTGGCTTTTATATGTTGTATTTTGTCCTATTCCATCAGCACATCCACAAAGCCACACAACGTGGTCAGTGCTGAGCCTCATAGTTAGCCAGCCTGAGAGGAGATTCCATTCATGAATGGAACAACAACATTCAAGACACAATTACAAAAGGAAAACAAAAATAACTCAAACAAGGGGCATTCCTACAGCACCCAGCTCAGGAGATCTAAGACACTGCACCACTGGGTCCCACAAAACACCTACTAGATAAGACCACCCCACAAAGTTTTGGAAGCATAGCAGTTTGATATAGAAACAAAGACAAAGGAACAGCAAAAATGGTGAGACAAAGAAACAATTCCCAAATGAAAGAAAAGGAGGAATTGCCAGAAAAAGGAATTAAATGAAATAATTCAAAGTAATGGTCATAAAGGTGCTCAAACAACTTAATGAGAACTACAAGTAACTTAATGAGAATATTCTAGAACTTAATGAGAACTACAGCAGCATAAAAAAGAGGTAAAAACCATCAATAAGAATCAAGCAGAAATAAAGAATGGCATAGCTGAAATAAAAAATTCCCTGGAATCAATAAACAGTACAGTATAAGTGGAGGACCAAAACAGCGAATTAGAAAACAAGTTAGAAAAAAACACAAACTCAGAGCAGCAGTTGAAAACAGAGCTTTGGAACAACATAGAACATAACAATATTCACATCATAGGGGTTCCAGAAGTAGAAGAATCTGAGCAAGGAATAGAGAACCTGTTTGAAGAAATAATAGCAGAAAATTTCCCTCACCTGGTGAAGGAAATAGTCATTCAAGTTCAAGATGAACCCAATCATGATGAACCCAAAAAGACCCACACTAGACACATCATAATTAAAATGTCAAACATGAAAAACTAAGAAACAATCTTAAAGGCTACAAGAAAGAGACTGAAAGTTACCTACAAAGGAGCTCCCTTTAGACCAGTGGTTTCCAATGTGGGGCACACATCCCACAGGGGGGTATTTGATTTTTATGGGGGGCAATTTGAGAATTAGTTATTAACAGTGAATTTTTTGTATTTCTTATATTTCTAGGAGCCTCACATAGAGTATATAAATATATATTGTGACATATTTAGCATTTCAGTTCTCTATTATATGTTTTAAACTTTATTCACCATTTTTTCATATCACTGAAGTGATATGAAAAAATATTATTATTATTATTATTTTAACAATTTCTTAATTTCTTCCTCAATACTTCAACTGTCCTTTCATTCTTTCTTTTCTTTCATGGATACCATGTTCTTTGGAAGCTTGTTTAGATCAAATTAATGGCCTTTTAGGCTTCCTCTACATGAATAGGAATTCACTTTTTGAATAATAAGAATTATATGTTACAGGAAGCATTAGGATTTTAGAGATGCTTAGGTGGGGCATGGCCAAAAAAAGGTTGGGAACCACTGCTTTATATTGTCAGCTGATTGCTCAATAGAAACACTTCAGGCCAGAAAAAGGTGGCATGAAGTACACAAAGAGATGAAAACCAAGGGACCAAATCCAAACTACTCTATCCAGCAAGGCTATCATGCAAAATCAAATGTGAAATAAAGAGCTTCACAGACAAAAAAAGCTAAAGAGTTTATTACCACTAACTCAGCACTTCAAGATATGCTAAAGGGACTTTTCTAAGAAGAAGAAATACAGAGACAGAGGGCAACAGAGCCATAAAGAATGAAAATGGCAATAAATAAGTGCCTATCTATATTATAAAAACCCAGTGGCCCTAACGCCGTAATGACCAAAGACCGGCGTGGGTGGGTGGGGCTGCGCTATTTCATGCACTGGGCTTCTAGTCAATAATAACCTTAAATGTAAATGGTTTAAATATGTCAATCAAAAGACATAGGGTAGCAGGATGGAGAAGAAAACATGACTCATGCACATGCTGTCTATAAGATACCAAGCTCAGAACAAAAGGATGAAAGTGAAGGGATGGAAAAAATTTTTCCATGCAAATGGAAATTAAAAAAGCAAAAAAGCTGGGGTAGCATTACTAATACCTGACAAAAAATATTTCAAAATAGAGATCATTACAAGAGGCAATGAAGGGCCATTTCATAATACCAAAGGGATTAATACAATAAGAGAATTTAACTCTAGTAAACATATATACACCCAATACAGGAGCACCCAACTATATAAAAAAAACTTATGGAGGATTTTAAGGGAGAGATAAACAACAATACAATCATAGTAGGGGACTTTAATATCCCAGTGACATCAGTGAACAAATATTCTAGAAAAAAAAATAAATAAGGAAATAGTGATCCTAAATGACATACTAAATCAGATGGAATTAATTGATATTTACAGAACATTTCACCCCAAAGCTATGAAATATACATTCTTCTCAAGTGCACCTGGGTTATTCTCAAAGATAGGCCACATATTAAGACACAAACTAAGTCTCCACAAGTTCAAGAAGATTGAAATTATGTCAAGCATCTCCTCAGATCACATAGCATGAAATTAGAAATCAACTACAATAAAAACACTCAAAAATCTTCAAACACATGGAGGCTAAGTAGCATGTTATTAAATAATGAATGGGTTGCCAAAGAAACCAAGGAAGAAATAAAAAACACTTCCTGGAAACAAATGAAAATGAACACATGACAACCCAAAATCTCTGAAAGCAGTCCTGAGAGGGAAATTCACAGCATTACAGGCCTACCTCAAAAAAAAAAAAAAAAAAAGAAAAACTGCTGATAAACTATATAACACTATGACTTAAAGAATTAGAAAGAGAACAACAAGAAAAGCCCAGAATAAGTAGAAGGAAGGAAATAATAAAGACTACAGTGAATTCTTCCAAATTTTCAAGATTATTTCTATGCAACCTATCAATTCCAACATATTTAAAAGGATAAAGTGCTGTTCAATTAACATTATGAAGCAAGAATAATCCCAAGAGCAGAATTCAACTAAGGAAAAAAATAAACTACTTGCAGGTTTCACTCATAAACATATATTAAAAATAAATTATTGCCTAACATAATTCAACATACTATTTGAGAATAATACACTATAATCAAGTAATCCAAGAAATATAAAGACATTTCAATATTAACATCTTAATCATATAGTATCAATAGGACAAATATGAATGTGATTCCATCCCTGCCTTGGTTGCAGAGAAGCTAAGAGGTAAATTGATGACCCCATTTCAAGCAACAGATATGAACAGAATTTCTTTGTTTTAATCTTATCTCTAACTTTATTATGCTATTATTCTTATTATGTATTCCTGGTGATATCCTTAACTATTTTGTTTTATCCTTTTCTTATATGTTTTAGTAAGTTGCCTAATTTTGTGCAAATAAAATAATCCTTAAAATAATTTAAGAGGAAAAAATAAGGAAATAAAAAAGAGTAAAGGAGAAAGAAAAGAAGAAGAAGGAGAAAGAATATTTAAGAATGAAAGAAAATAGACCAAAAAGTAGATGGTAGTTGTCTTGAGGGCAAAGATTAATAAATGATTTTGGTTTTATTGTCTGGATTTTTCTAATTTTTAAGATAATTGGTATAACATAAATTTAGAGCAAACAAACAGTATTTGGAAAAAATTAATAATTTTATTGGGTAGTATGGTCAAAAAAATTTTAAATTCAACAAATTAAAAATGTACTTTTAAAAGCAAATGAAAATACCATGAAGATCTTCTAAACAACCCAAGTAGTCTTATATCTTGGAACAACAGTCAAATTAAATATCCTGTCAAAATGAAAATTTGACTGGCTAACATACATAGATAAATAAAACATTTTTTATATATAACCTATATATATAAAAGGTTAAGTTGACTTGCACATGTGCGATACATATAAAGTTTTCACTGGCGCCAACTGCACACATGTGTTTCGATCTGTCATTGTCAATTGTGAATTTGGTTGACACTTCTATTATAGAGAAAGGGTGAATAGTGATATTATGTATTATATATACAATTTCTATAGTATAGTTTGCTCATTCTTAATTATGGCAACAGTTGTCTGACAAATTACATAACAACTGTCCAGTAAAATTTAGTCTAATAATCAATTATTAAATTTAATTATTAAACAACAAAAATAGAGAAAATTTATTCAGTATGTTACCTCATATTTTGGATACAGTGTTTTCTTCATGACAGATACAGGAACAGAGAATTTAGGTGAAGCTGGTTTCCAAAACATCTTCGTAATTCCTGGATAAGCAGACACCTTTGAAAAGAACATAAAATGTTATTAAAAACTAACAAATGGTCCCTGAGGAAAATACCCAAGCTCCTATCAAAATCATATCTAGTTGCCCAGAAAATGAGGTGATTGGTTCCACAGCCTCTGGAAGTCTAGAAAAAAACTTTTCATATCCATCAGATTAGCAAAAATGTAAAGTTGGCAATTCCAAGTGGTGCCCAGAGTGTGGGGAAATTAGTAGAACTACACTGGAAGCAAAATGGTCATTTCTAGTAAAATGGGAAATGTACATGCCACATGATCCAGAAATTTCTCTCCACCTACATAGTATAAGGAAATTCGTACCCATGTGCATAAAGAGATATGTATAAGGATGTTCATACTGCATATGAAATAGCAAAAAACAAGGCCAAATCTCAATGTCCATTAATATAGAAACAGATGACTAAATATGGTATATTCATATAACTAAACACTAACAAAGCTGTTCAAGCACAAATAGTATAAACCAGTGATGGCGAACCTTTTGAGCTCGGCATGTCAGCATTTTGAAAAACCCTAACTTAACTCTGGTGCTGTGTCACATATAAAAATTTTTTGATATTTGCAACCATAGTAAAACAAAGACATATTTTTGATATTTATTTTATATATTTAAATGCCATTTAACAAAAAAAAATCAACCAAAAATATGAGTTCGAGTATCACCTCTGACACGAGTGTCATAGGTTCGCCATCACTGGTATAAACCATAGATGGATCTTAGCAGTATAGTATTGATAGTAAAATAAGCAAGTTTTAGAAAGAGGCATACAAAATAGTGCCTTTATATAAATGTATATAGAACACACAGAACTACGTATTTATTGTTTCAAGTCACAAATACACCTATCTACACTAATAAAAGACAAACATGCAAATTGAACATACCTTCGCTATGCCTTAAGCCATGCCCACCAGCCAATCAGAGCAACTATATATAAATTAACCCAACCAGGATGGCGACCAGCAGCCATGAAGCTGGAGCAAGCAGGAGGCTTGGTTGCCCCAATGATGGAGGAAGCCAAGCTTCCCGCCTGCCGCGCCGGCTCTGAGCTCCACTCAAAGCAACAAAGTTTCAATTATAGAAGGTAAATAAACCCCAGATACCTGCTTTCAGCCATCCATGGCCACGGAGCTGGAGCGAGCAGGAGTGGGTTGCCCCTGGCGATAAAGAAGCCAAGCTTCCCTCCTGCCCACCCTGGCTGGCTCTGAGCTTCTCTCAAGGCTACAAATTATAGAAGGTAAATAAATCCCAGAATTTAAAAAAAAAAAAAGGAGAGGCTGGGAGCTTCCGTCGCTGCGGGACTTGGCCAGCCTGAAAATGGCCCTCAGCCCCTCACCCAGGCTGGCCAGGCACCCGAGTGGGGACCCCTCACCCGAAAGGGGGTGTGGCCAGCCTGAAAACAGCCATCAGCCCCTCACCCAGGCTGGCCAAACCTCCATGGGGTGAGGGTCCCCACTGGGGGGGCTTGACCAGCCTGCAAAAGCCATCATCCCCTCACCCAGGCTGGCCAGGCACCCCAATGGGGACCCCCACCCTGAAGGGGGTGTGACCAGCTGCAAACAGTCATCAGCCCCTCACCCAGGCTGGCCAGGCACCCCAGCAGGACCCCCACCATGATCTGGGATACCCTTCAGGGCAAACCAGCCAGCCCCCACCTATGCACCAGGCCTCTATCCTATATAATAAAAGGGTAATATGCAAATTGACCCTAACAGCAGAACGACGCTCAATGCAGGAGCTGCCCCTGGTGGTCAGTGTGCTCCTACAGGGGGAGCTCTGCTTAGCCACAAGCCAGGCTGACACCTGCCAGTACAGCAGTGATGGTGGGAGCTTCTCCCGCCTCCTCAGCAGCACTAAGGATGTCCGACTGAAGCTCAGGCCTGCTCCCCGCTGGCAAGTGGACATCCCCAAGGGCTGCCGTGCTGCCAGAGGGATGTCTGACTGCCAGCTTGGGCCCCATCCCCCAGGGAGTGGGCCTAAGCCAGCAGGTGGACAACCTCCGAGGGGTCCCAGACTGCAAGAGGGCATAGGCCAGGCTGAGGGATTCCCCCCGAGTGCACAAATTTTTGTGCACCAGGCCTCTAGTCTATATATATATATATATATATATATATATATATATATATATATATATATATATAAAACCCTAATATGCAAATAGACTGAAAGGCAGAAGAACTGAACAACTAAACAACCAAACAACTGATCGCTATGACGTGCGCTGACCACCAGGCGGTGCATGCGGAATATGGTGAGTGTTGGCAGCAGGCAGCAGAGCATGGAACATGGCAGGCATTGGCCGTGGAGGGATGGTGGAGCAGGTGAGCGGGAGTGCTAGACCACAGTGGGACACCAGTTGCTGTCATCGGGGCGAGCCTCTGGTGGTTACTAAAAATTCATTGCTCCTGTGTGCCATGGTCCTGCTGGGCACTCACACCTGCTGCTGGCACCAGCCCCACTTGCACCCACTGCCAGTACCCAGTGCAGGCCCTGATCGCTTGGCACTATCAGCAGGTGCGAGCAGCGGCTGCCAGCCCCGATTGCCCTTCAGGGTTTCTTCACATCTCCCTGCTCCTAAGGGGCAACTGGGGCCAGCAGCTGCCTCTCACACCTGCTGCCAGCAATGGTCCCACTTGCACCTGCTGTTGGCGCCAGCCCCAATTGCTATGCACTGTCAGTGGGTGCGAGTGGGGCTAGCATGGTCAGCACGTGGGAGTGGAGGCAGCAGAAGCAGGACTTCTGGCAAACAGGGGACCAGAGGCCACAGTAGGACGGGCCAGGCAGGGGCTTAGAGGATGGGCTGAGACCCACCCCTGTGCCCACCACAGCCTGATGGCCCAGTTCCTTTCAAGGTGCACAAATTTGTGCACTGGGCCTCTAGTTAAAGTATAAAATCAGGGACTAGAAAGACCACAATTGTAAGAGAGACTACCCTTGGGCAAGGAGGAAGAGAAATGGAACTAGGAAGTACAACCAAATGTTAATATTTACAAATTCTTAATAATATGTCCCCAAGTATGTCTTAGTTTAGTTTCTGTTTTTATTTATGTTTTTAAAACTTTTTCCAAATAAATATTAATTAGGCATAGGGGAATTTTTTACAGAGGTGAAATTATTCTCTATGATGGTGGCCGGCAGCCATGGAGCTGGAGCAAGCAGGAGGCTTGGTTGCCTGGGCAATGGAGGAAGCCAAGCTTCCTGCCTGCCTTGAGCTGGCTGTGGCCTCTGCTCATGGCAACAAAGTTTCATTTATAGAAGACAAATAAATCCCAGATACCTGCTTCCAGCCAGCCTCCACTGGGAGCTTGGGTGGCTGGGGGCCGTGGCCAGCCTGTAAACAGCCATCAGCCCCACACCCAGGCTGGCCAGGCACCCCAGTGGGGACCCCCACACTGAAGGTGCTGTGGCCAGCCTGCAAACAGCCATCAGCCCCTCACCCAGGCTGGCCAGGCACCCCAGCAGGGACCCCTACCCTGAAGGGGCTGTGGCCAGCCTGCAAACAGCCATCAGCTCCTCACCCGGGCTGGCCAGGCACTCCTATATAATAAAAGGGTAATATGCAAATTGACCCTAACAGCAGAATGTCTGGGAATGACTGGTCACTATGACACACACACTGACCACCAGGGGGCAGATACTCAATGCAGGAGCTTAGGCCTGCTCCCCGCTGGCAAGTGGACATCTCCCAAGGGCTCCCAGGCTGCCAGAGGGATATATGACTGCCAGCTTAGGCCCGATCCCCCAGGGAGTGGGCCTAAGCCAGCAGGTAGTCATCCCCCGAGGGGTCCCAGACTGTGAGAGGGCACAGGCCAGTCTGAGGGACCCCGCCGAGTGCACAAATTTTTGTGCACTGGGCCTCTAGTGTGTGTGTGTGTGTATATACACATATATATGTATAAAATATGCAAATGAGGTCAGGACTCCATAACAGCCACAACCAGCTCAGGAGGAGGAGCCAGGTGCGGCCCCAAGCCTGAGAGAACAACAAGCAGGCACGGCCCAGAGCCCGAGAAATCAACACGGAGGGGCACCTGCTCGGAGCCTCCACAGCGCAGCTGGGGACAAGCCCCCAGCAGACACACACACACATACACAGGGTGCCTGCTCCAAGCCTCTGTGGTGGGGCTGGGGGCAGACCCCCAGCAGACACACACACACACACACACACACACACACACACAGAAACACACACACACACACACACACACACACGGGGTGCCTGCTCTGAGCCTCCACAATGTGGCTGAGGGCAGGCCCCCAGCGGACACACATACACAGACACACACACACACAAACACACATACACGGGGCGCCTGCTCCGAGCCTCCACGGCCAGACTGCGGCTTAGGCCCGCTCCCCGTGGGCCTAAACTGTCAGGGAGTGGGCCTAAGCCGTCAGTAGGACATCCCTGAGGGCTCCCAGACTGTGAGAGGGGGCAGGCTGGGCTGAGTGACCCACCCCCCAGTGCACAAATTTCATGCACTGGGCCTCTAGTATAAAACTAAAGGCCAAAGAAACTGTACACAGCTGATAAAGTGCATTCCATAGGAATATGGGTTAATAATTCTGATACATCTATACATGTACACTTCTATACTGGAATTGAGCAGTTAAGTAAATGGATGGAGAATGATAGGACCCAGGTTTGTCACTGTTGGAGTAAGAATTTAAAGATGAGCAAGGGAGGAGGCTAGAATGATCCATGTGGTAATGCACTAGAGTTGGAGACAGCAGCATGAACTCGTGTTTTAGACATGAATGGTGACATATAAAAACAGTTTTAAATATGTGTGTTTTATAGGTGTTGGTATACACATGTGTATTTCGTTGCTGTGTCAATTGAGACAGTGCCAACAAGCACACCTAATGCCCAGATCTTTACATTAATTACATTTTTTTAATAAAGGGAACTGGGGCTTCCAGTAGAAATTGCTAAATGTAGGGACTGAGGCAAGAAATGTACAAGATGAGCCTAGAG